ACCTGGAATGCTTTTTACTCAGGTACCCCAGAGCCTGATCCCTCATTTCCCTTAGGTCCTGGCTCAAAGATTATCTATCATGTGAGGTCTTCTCCCACTATCATAATTAAAACAACACAATCTCCTTTCTCTGATTTATTTTTCTCCATAACCCATGTTAACACTGGCATAGTACATACAGGGTGGGGCAAAAGCAGGTTTACAGTTGTTTGTATGGAAAATAATACAATTAATAAATAATAATACAAGAATGAACTCAGTGTTTCGCATACTCACAACTGCAAGCCTACTTTTGCCCCAGCCTGTATTTTACCTTTTGGTTTATTATTTTATTAATTTAATAATTTATAGGCAGCAGTGTTTCTTTTCTTCAATGCTTTAGCCTGGGGCCCAAAACAGTGTCTGACACATATTAGGTGTTAAATAAATAACATTGTCTGAATCACAGAAAGAAAAACCGTCCTAGCCTTTTCAGAATAACTAAGTTAGTTCATAGAAACAAATGGAATAATTATGTTATAGATAGAAAATAATTCTTGGACAAAACCCCCATGTTTTTAACTGGGAAAGATGGCTTCTTAAGAATATATAAACCTTCCCTGATTCTGGTACGTTTATCCATTAATCTTCGTCTCTTCTTTTGTGAAACAGCAAGAAAAAAAAAAGCCCTGTTAAGTGAAAGCAAACCATTGATCATACAAGACAGAGAACAAGTTGTTAATGAGTTTCAAGTTGTTACCATTTATTTTTATGTGCTAAGGTACAATTGAAGGTGCTAATAGATCTCTTAAATTCTGTATGATTTTGAACTGACATGGTTATTTCAATGATTCACTTGATCTCACTAAACATTTTCCCAGGGACTCAATTCATTTCAACAAGCATTTATTGAAGGCTTGTGTGAGCAAATACCTGGAGTGCACTTTTTGATAAAAAAGAACTACCAAGGGAGATGAGACTGGGCTTCCCTTTGTAATGCAAATAAAATCCTTCGGTTCTCAATTTTTGTGCAAGTCTGGAAATATACTGCATAGAAGATAACCACTTTATGAGGGACCAGGAGCCCCCTAAGTCAGTGAAAGTAAGTGATACTCATGTCAAAATAATATGGAAGGAAAGAGAGACATAGTATATAGAATTGAAGCCTGAGTGGTAGGGTGATAGAGGTGGGAGGGAGAGGGCTTTGTCAACAGAAAGAAGAGGGTTGGTGTCCCCAGTTCCACTCCTTATAAAATATTTGACATTGCTCATGTGTTTAACCTTCTTAAGACCCATTCCCAAGCATAGGGAAATAGAATTTAAATATTTAGTTCATGTGGACATGCAGATTAAATGTAATATATGTAAAGCACCAAATACAATGTCCGACACATATTCAATAATGGCAGGTATTAAAACAAGCAGGAAAAAAACCAGATATAGTCCATTTATTAACAACCCACTTAAGACCCAAAATATTATTCTGTGATGCTTAGGAAAACTTTGATACTTTTGGTCTCTCTCCCAAGCACGTCCCCAACCTCCTATATGTCCTTTCATGTGTCTTGATCACATACATTCATGAAGAAGCAGAAAGTAAAATAGTTACCTGACCTCTACACCCCTGCTCTGGCTCCACAGAAACCAGAGTGAGGAATGAAAGTGATAATGGAGCACAGGGGGAGGACCCCCGTCTGGGGGGTGGCGTAACTCCCTTACAGACCAGTCCTCCCACTCATTCCAGCTACAGACCCCGGGGAAAAATCAAACCTGAGGACTTCAAGGCCAAGTAAACAAAAGCCGGCAGACTGTGGCGGGCAGTAGAAATCTGGAGTAGCAACAACCATGGCGTGAGTTTTGTGTTTTCTTCCTGCTTTGCCCCAAAGTGGGGCTGCAGGTGCAGAGTTTTAATGCAGCACAGGCAACTAAAACTACACGA